TGGGCTCATAGGGAAAATAAAAACCGGTGGGGTGGTGGGGTGGGTGGGGTGGGTGGTGTTTTGTGGGGTTTGGGTGGGGCTGCTACCCCCAGCAAGCCTCATGTGGTTGGGTGGGGGTTGCGTCGTGCTGAACTTAAGGCAGGCACGAGGCTTGACGGGAGTAGCAGCCCATAGGGAAAATAAAAACTGAACTCTTTACCAAGAAAAAAAAAAAACAAAAACAAAAAAAAAAAAAAACAAAAAAAAAAACCCACTGAACTTTTGGTTTGTGTGTTTCAGATTTTGCAATTGAAATTGAACGAAACAATGCACACGTATTATAAAATGCCGATATGCGGCTGCACACAGTTTGCGGCTAATAACAGTCGCAATATCTGAACACAGAGTTATGTCATGAAAAACGCCATGAAAAATAACAAACGCTACCGTCAAAGTAAGCGTACCATACGAAATATGAAAGGTCAAAACGTATATGCATAAAGAAAGGTTTCAAAATGAACCATATGCCTAGGGAGATATCCCGGGCGCCCGGGTCCCGATTTCACGCCCGGATTGGCAACCGGGTGACCGGCCGGGCATGGTCCCGGGCAGCCTCAGCGCAAAAAAAATAAATAAAAATAAATAAATAAAAATCAAATCCAAAAAAATCTGAAAAAACATTATGTTGTGTAGAATTTCAATACAAACAACTTTTGGCTGAGGGTCACATCAGAATTCCTCACAGAACAAAAGATAAAAAAGAAAATAACCATATCACACTAAGGCACCCCCCTTTAAAGTTTAAACCCCGCCTTTAGCCCCTTTAAATTTCATTTACACTCCCCTTTCCCCCCCTTGACAGCCAACACTCAAAAAAAGAAAAGAGCCCGGATTTGGGCTCCTCTCGGAGAGCGCGGAAAAACCCCACCGCCATTTTTTTTTTTTTTTTTTCGCCATGACCGAGTCACCCGGGCTTCACGCCCGGGTCCTGAAAATCTTCCTAGCCATATGCACAATAGAGATCGAAAAAAAAAAAAAAACTGCCTAATAACGAAAAAATGCTGCTAATGAGACGACAAGGTAATGGAACGTGTAAAAACTACATGATGCACTTGTGCCTTTGACCAGTAAAAAACAAAAAAAGTCAATAGCGTCCATCGCGTCTCGGTGGGGTCGTGGTCCGTCGCTTGCCACGAGCGAGTATGCTCCTGAGTGGCGCGTGTATCGGCAGGTCCTCCTCTCCGTCAGCCTCCTCTGCAATGAGGTAAGTATGATCATTGTCGACCACCATGATGCCATCTCGTCTGATCTCCCTCTCTGATGCCGATATGAGGGTGTCCGTGCGACGGCTGCCCGACATCATCTCCAACTCCTCGCCTCCTGTGGTCTCACCATTCCGACGTGATGCTTGTAGATGTATCGGCCTCTGTGTTCGGGGAGGCCCCACCACATCTGCCCTGATGATCTGTGACACCTTCCTCAATCCATGAGTCGACACTCGTGAACCAGGCGCTGCAAATCCACCTCCGCCTGCGCCCTCAACGGGAGCATCTAACCCGCCACGACGCTCGCACCCAGCAGCATGCACCTCCCTCGTCCATGACATGGACGAGCGCCGCCTACCCAACTCTGCTTGCTTCTTCCTGGTAGTCGCCGTCGACTTCCTCGTGTGGCTCCATGACACGTAAGTGCGGCCGAGTAAAGATGCGGCCACGACCCTCGTTGTCGCCTCTCCACGCTCTCGTGGCCTGCCCGCCGATGAGGCAGGCATAGACGGCCGTGTCCCACGATTTCGTGCCACACCCGGAGGGGATTGTGCCGTACTAACTCCCATGACACCCAGCGCCACCGAAGCGTCTGAGGGCGGTGTGGGGCTGGTAGGGCCCCATGAAACAGACTGCAAGTGTGGTAGAACTTCTTTGGCTTTCTTTGAGCCGATCCTCGCTTCACGTCTCGCCTCCGTGAGATCCTTCGCAAGGCACGTGCCCAAGTCATCAGCAGTCATTGCGCCGAACATCAAACTACCTCGGGGCTGCTCTACGTACGGAGTCTCTCGCCTCTCAGTGTTGTGCAAATGACGACGACGCCGATGAAGGGACAAGCGGTGGCCGACGTTGGGATGCAACGTTGGCCTATGCAATGGACGATGTGCGCATTGTCGATCTGTTCCCCAGAATGGGCGCTGGCACCTCAAACTCCAGACCACAAGTGATCGACTCAATCCCTCCACCGGCTGGTGTGATGGGTGCCATGACACGTACTCCCTCCTCCGCGCCTAAAGCAGGTATAGTCGTCCAGCAGGTGCGTCCTTGTGAGGCTCCTCATATGCGTCCTCCTCCATCTCTGCACGAATCGGGAATGGCTCTCCCCCCACTGACGCAAGACTCGCATTAGTCGTGTCTGCCACGCCAACCTCCGAGTCTCCTGCTCGTACCTCTCGTGGATCTTCCAAAACAGTCGTGTCTCTACAATCTGCCACCTCTGGAGCCGCCGCTGAGCGGCATTAGCCTCTACCACAGTGGAGTCACCCAATCTCTGACCAGTCGCCTCTCCATCTTGTGCCTCTGCTACACAGGCCGAGTCTCCATGACGTGCCTCTGTCGCGCTGAATGTGCCG